TAGTAGACATTCTGGTGATGGTCCTCATTAATAGCAACTCTTCAGATAGGGATGCTAAAGAAGACTGATAAGGTGTTGAGTTTGAAAATATGCTATTGAAGTCAATGTAAAAGTAGAATTTTGTGACTCACATTGTGATGTCTGTATGATGCATGCATAATTATTTTAAAAGGTATATAAACCAAGGATTTCCTTTGTTCTGAACCCTTCTTTCCTGGCTTACCAGGAGGGTCCATATCCGGTTGGCACCAACCGAGAATAAAGCCGTGCTTTTCAGTTCTCAGGATCTCTCTTTGTCTCTTTTCCTCAAACCTTCTCCCTGCCATTTCAATATGACACTGAGTATTCAAATCTTCCTTGATTTTGGAAGTTAAGCAGGGTTGATTGTGGTTGGAACTAGCATAGGGTACCATAAAGTAATACCAGGTATCTTCAAACAGGGTTAAGGAGAAGCCTCTTTGAAACATTAGAGAGCTGGCCCTCCGTATCCATACACTCCGCATCCATGTACTCAACCACCCATGGCGTAAGAATATTCCAAAAAAGCAAACCTTAATTGTGCCATTTATATAAAGGACACAATTTCACTATGTGATTGTATATACTTAGACTTGCACATCCATGGATTTGGAGAGCTGTAGGAAGTCCTGGAACCAAACCCCCAGGGGATATACCAAGGTCCCATTGGTTTGCCATAATACCAAGCAGATCCCAATGTTCCTTTCTCGGGGAAAGTATCTGCTGTGAAAAACACAAAAGACAGAAAACCCCAGATGTTGACAATAATTCATTATACGACAAGATGCTGCAAAAAGAATTTCCATTTCTGCAGAACAAAGGATGGACAATACCAGTCTTCCTTTTAGCTTGTCTCTTAATCGGAATGCATGAAGAAAAGTCTCGCTCCTTCTCTTTCTCCATCTCCTAAGTTCCCCTTGTTGGGAGTTTCCTTTTCATTTCTCTGTGATTTAATTTGGCGTCCAAAGAAGTAATGCTGTGTTTAGTAGCCTTCAAGCACAGTGGAAGAAAAAGCTTTCTAAAGCAATGCAGATTTATGGTTAGAGATCCGGCACAAAGAAACCGTCGGAACATTGTATTCTGCAAATGGCAGATGCTTTGAATCACAAATTGCAAGCAGAAGAGCTACAAGGTTTCTAAAGATATGGCTGAGAATGACGGGAAAATAACAGCCAAACTAGATGTGATTATAATTATACACATTTAAGAACAACGTGAATGTTCTCCAATCTGTCATTAGGGTTTAATTGTACCTTAATGTCCTAGTCTCAGATATGAAGCGTATTTACCAAATAAAGGAAGCTTGGGTTTGATTAATTTGAATTATTTGGATCATTATCATTGACCTATATGTAAATTAGTCACCTGATTTTTTTTTCTGGAGCATATACAGGCAATCCCCAAGTTATGAACAAGAGAGGTTCTCTAGGTTTGCTCTTAAATTTATATTACAATGTAATACAATATAATAGGTTAAAGGTAAAGGTTTCCCCCGATGTAAAGTCCAGTCATGTCCGACTCTGGGGGTTAGTGCTCATCTCAATTTCTAAGCCAAAGAGCTGGCATTGTCCGCAGACCCCTCCAAGGTCATGTGCCTGGCATGACTGCATTTATTCATTTATTTATTTCAGGTACTTCTACCCCGCCCTTTTCAACCCTCTCAGAGGGACTCAGGGCGGCTTCCAACCGGCATGCGTTTGATGCCTACAATTCAACACAATAAATACATAGTAACAATAATTATAAACAATTGAAGCATTACATTAATACAATAAAAAGCCAGCCTGGTGGCCATCGTTTCGCCAAGTCCATAATTAATAAATTCATTCCGCTTATCATAGTTCGTTTCCAAAGCTTTAGTCGTCATTGTCCTCGTCAGTCTGCCAGATTACCCAAAGGCCTGGTCCCATATCCATGTTTTTAATTGCCTTCTGAAAGAGAGGAGGGATGATGATGATCTAATTTCCCCGGGAATTGAATTCCACAGGTGAGGGGCCACCACCGAGAAGGCCCTGTCCCTCGTCCCCGCCAATCTCATCTGTGACAAGGGCGGGGCCGAGAGCAGGGCCCCTCCAGAAGATCTTAAATTCCTAGGCGGGATGTAGAAGGAGACACATTTGGACAGGTACGCTGGGCCGGTGCTATATGCATGGAGCACCATTACCTTCCCACCAAAGCAGCACCTATTGATTTACTCACATTTGCATGTTTTCGAACTGCTAAGTTGGTAGAAGCTGGGGCTGACAGCAGAAGCTCACCCCTCTCCCCAGATTCGAACCTGCGACCTTTCAGTCAACAAGCTCAGCAGCTCAGCACTTTAACCCACTGTACCATCGGGGGCTCCATAATACAATGAATGAGAGGATATAGTTTTTAGCTTTTAATATTGTTATTATGCGCTGTCTTACGTCTAATTGCACCATAATGGTTCTTTTGCTTATCAATGTATGTATTTTTATGGCATCAAATTGTGCCGATTGTGTATGCCGCTCTGAGTCGCCTCCGGGCTGATATGAGCAGGGTAGAAATAATGCAAATAAATAAATAATAATACAATTATACAATATAATACTACTACTAATATATTATAATTATATATTTTATATTACATTTAATATTACTAATAATATTACAATATAGTGGCATAGTACGATATAGTAATATATAATAGTGATATTGTACTATGCTATTAATACAATATATTGTGTGTGTGTGTGTGTGTATCTTGTAAGCTGCTCTGAGTCCCCTTTGGGGTGAAAAGGGTGGTATATAAATGTTGTAAATAAATAAATAAATTTGTAAGTCAGCACAGGTACATTTTTAAGTGTAATTCTAGCCCAAATATATGTATATTTTAGCTTTGGATAGTATAAGGTAAAGGTAAAGTTTTCCCCTGACATTAAGTCTAGTCGTGTCTGACTCTGGGGGTTGGTGCTCATCTCCATCTCTAAGCCAAAGAGCTGGTGTTGTCCATAGACATATCCAAGGTCATGCAGCTAGCATGACTGTGTGGAGCACCGTTAACCTTTCCACCGGAGCAATACCTATTGATCTACTCGTATTTGCATGTTTTCAAACTGCTAGGTTGACAGAATGTAATAATATGATTGTATTTTTGCCATTTTAATTGTTTCAATGTTTTAATGTTTTAGTGTGATTTAGAAATACGATGTTTTAATGACGGTCTGTAATATTGATGTTGGAAACAAGGATTGGTGATAAAGGTTCAGTGGAGACACTTGTTCCCCATGATAACTCTTTCAGGAGTGAATTTCCTTTTCTAGATTTTACTCATTTCCCGGTGGTTTCACCTCCCCCACCCCATTCTTAACTATGAGTCATTTCTAAGTGGGATGTCAGTAACTTCAGGACTCCCTGTCTTAGAAAGCAATATGAACCTTGAATTTTATTAATTTATCGTGTCAGAAAAGCAAATTGAGAATACATCTATAATGTATTTTTTTTAAAAAAACACAAAGTTAAAAACTTAGCATTAAATTTCCTGGCCACTTGGGAGTGCCTCTGGTGTCGCTGTGAGGTCCTCCATTGTGCATGTGGCAGGACTCAGGTCGCATAGTAGTAGGTGGTCTGTGGTTTGCTCTTCTCCACACTTGCACGTCGTGGATTCCACTTCGTAGCCCCTTTTCTTAAGGTTAGCTTTGCATCTCGTGGTACCAGAGTGCAGCCTGTTCACTTTCCAAGTCACCCAGTCTTCTGTGTGCCCAGAAGGGAGTCTCCCATCCCATATATCAGCCACGGATTGAGATTCTGGATTTTAGCCTGCCACTTTTGGACTCTGGCTTGCTGAGGTGTTCCTGAGAGTATCTCTGTAGATCTTTGGAAGCTGCTTAAGATGTTGCTGTGCTGGCTGATATCCAAACACAGGATGGGTTGGAGATATCAATGCCTTGGTCCTTTCATTACTTCTTGACGGATGTCAGGTGGTTCAATACTGGATAAGCAGTATAATTTCTCCAGTGGTGTTGACTGTAGGCATCCTGTGATAATGTGGCATGTCTCATTAAGAGCTACAACTACTGTTTTAACATTATGAACCCTGATAACCAAACAGGAACTAACCAGAACTGATCAAACTATGAAGATATGATCCTTCTCATTAGGGTTTCTTAAAAAATCATTTTGGAAATTTGAAAATGGCACCAAATTAGGAGGGATAACTTAAGAGAACAGCATCAGAATTAAAAATGACCTTAATAGATTGGGCCAAAAGTAACAAATTTCAATATGAATGTGTATGAGGAATGGATTAAGCAGCTGGATATGAAGCTTGGAGGTGGTTATGAGGGGATAGCATAGCTAGCTATGCTTAAATATTTGAAAGGATGACACATTGAGATGAGAGACAGCTTGTTTTCTTGCTACTCAAGAGTAGAAAAAGGAGCATACAGGAAAAGAGAGTCCATCTAAACATTAGAAATACCTTCCTGGTGGAAAGAGCTATTGGACAGTGGAATATATTGGTGAGTTTTCCAGGCTATATGGCCATGTTTCAGAAGCATTCACTCCTGATGTTTTGCCTCCAACTATGGCAGGCATCCTAAGAGGTTGTGAGGTTTGTTGGAAACTAGGAAAATTGGGTTTATATATCTGTGGAATGTCCAGGGTGGAAGAAACAACACGTCTGTTTGAGGCAGGTGTGAATGTTGCAATTGGCCACCCTGATTTGCATTTAATGGCTTTGCAGCTTCAAGATCTGGCTGCTTACTGCCTGGAATATACTGCTTTAAAAGTGGCGGAGTCTCCTTCTCTGGTGGCTTTTATATATTGTCAAGAGTGCTTTCAGGGTATATTCCTGCATGACAGGGGGTTTGACTGGATGACCCTTGGGAGTCTCTTCCAGCTCTATGATTCTATGAATCCGCCATGTCACAGAAATTCGAAGAGGTCTACTTTTACTGCTTAGAAACCAATCTCAAGTACGTGTAGGTGTGTGCAGCAGGACTGAAGACATACACCAAGAATACAGCACACGCAAAAGAGCTGGTTTTATTTGTTCAACAAGTCTGCAAGAACAAGTAGCACACATCTTAGCTGTGGTGGACAACAAGTTGCACCATCTGGGGACGATGACTGGAAGCTCAGCTAGAAGTTTAAACGAGGAAAGCGCACTTCAGAAGCTTAGGGTTCAACTGTGGGCAGGGGTGGTCTTCTCCTGGCTGGAGAGAACAGACGTGTTCCTAGGTTGCTCTACAGGTCTTTGAGGTCCTTCTGGACGTTCCACAACGTGGTGGCGCTCTGCTGGAGCTGGGCCACCTCATTGTCCTTCAGCTTTTGGTTGATCACACTGGTCAAGCCAACAGACCCCAAGACGCAAGGAAGGCTCAGGAACACTTCGTTTTCAATGCCATACATCCCCTGAAACAAGGCATGAGAAAAGGGAGAGGCCTTTATTTGGAAAGCCAATTGAACAACGTACACAAATACTTATTGTCGAAGGCTTTCATGGCCGGAATCACTGGGTTGTTGTATCTTTTTTGGGCTGTCTGGCCTCGAATATGGCCATACGGCCCGAAAAACCAACAACAACCCAATACAAATACGACATAAACATTGCTATAAGTTTCAAGAGCAGTCAGTATTATGTCAAAGAAGGCTCCATCCAAAAGTGCAGGGCCTCAAGGCCAGTCAGAGGAGCCAGAAGCAGTAACAGCAGATAAGGAATTGAGTGAAGAGCTGTGTGATAACGAGGTTTACCAGGAGAAACCACATGTAGCTACGGAGATCAATAAAAGCCTTTATTTACAAATCAGAGCTGAAAATGGATTGTGTTGGTCAGAAAGATTACATGGGAAAGTTGTGGAGAAAATCCACGGGAGATGTAATGCTTTCATGGTTATCTACTAAACAGCAAGTTGTTTACTTTAAGGGCAGTTCAGGCAACGCTGTGTTAGAGTGAGAAGCTAAGCCCAAGTTCTCTTGTTCCTGGCTCAAGTCAAGCCTTGGTTTTGGATTTAATATATCCTGGAAATTTCTGAGAATTTGTATTATTGTATTGTCGAAGGCTTTCATGGCTGGATTCACTGGGTTGTTGTAGGTTTTTCGGGCTATATGGCCATGTTCTAGAAGCATTCTCTCCTGACGTTTCACCTGCATCTCAAAATCATTTGAGTGATTTTCCCCCAGAACACACAAGAATGGGCAAAGGTGCCAGCAGTATGGTTTATTTCATCCATATATTGGTCAAAATGATAGCTTAGGGCAATGCCACAACCTTTCTGGTTGCCATTTTGACTTATATATGGCTAAAATATATCCTCAGTCCCAGGCCAGTGCTTGCAGCTCATTGATTTGTTGTTATTGGCTTCCATCTCCTGTGCATTTGTCCATTTCTGCATTAAAAAGACTATAGCACAAAGCTCACCTTGACCATGGTGGACACTGGATGAACTCGGCAAAGGTTCTTCATGATGGTTTCTAGCAGGTCGGCAACACTTAAGCCGATGGCCCAGTTGGTATAACCCTTCAGTTTGATCACTTCATAGGCACTATTGAAAATATTGCAGACAGCCCAATTATGCTTTGTAAAATAGAAAAGAAAGGTTAACAGCAGAAGCAAAGATGGAAAGGTAACAGGGCCATATCAAGGAAAGAGGAATGGAGATGGAGCAATGGATTCAAAGGGGTGATGGGTAAGAAGAAAAGAGACCAACAGGCAAAAAGTTTTCCAACACAACTATTCCATTATATCAGGCATAGGCAAACATGGGCCCTACAGGTGTTTTGGACTTCAACTCCCACACCAGCTATTAGGAATTGTGGGAGCTGCAGTCCAGAACGCCAGGAGGGTCTAAGTTTGCCCATGCCTGAATTATATCCTGCACATGCAAGAGGATTATCTCATAACACATAATTTTCATTAACTGACACACACATGAATGGAGTCTGGCTCCAGCGGTGACTGCCAAGCCGTACCTGTCAACCACCTGCTTGTGGACCTGCCTCCAGCCCTCTGGGTCCTGGTCAGTTCCCATCGCAGGGTTTAGCTCCTGGAGGGAGACCCCGGCCACGTTGACACCACTCCAAACAGCCACTATAATAGAAGTGCAACAAAATCCAAGACAGCATTAAGTATATGGAACGAGAGTGTCAATTTCTGGCAGCGGTTGGTCATGAAGTTATTCTGGAGGACCTAGAGATGCCAACAGAAAAGAAGCAGGAATATTGCATTGAAATCACCCCTGACAGATGGCCATCCAGCCTCTGCTTAAAAGCTTCCAAAGAAGGAGCCTCCACCACACTCCGGGGCAGAGAGTTCCACTGCTGAACGGCTCTCACAGTCAGGAAGTTCTTCCTCATGTTCAGATGGAATCTCCTCTCTTGTAGTTTGAAGCCATTGTTCCGCGTCCTAGTCTCCAAGGAAGCAGAAAACAAGCTTGCTCCCTCCTCCCTGTGGCTTCCTCTCACATATTTATACATGGCTATCATATCTCCTCTCAGCCTTCTCTTCTTCAGGCTAAACATGCCCAGTTCCCTAAGCCGCCCCTCGTAGGGCTTGTTCTCCAGACCCCTGATCATTTTAGTCACCCTCCTCTGGACACATTCCAGCTTGTCTATATCTCTCTTGAATTGTGGTGCCCAGAATTGGACAGAATTAATGGGGCAAAGCTACCATCTGTAGGATTATGACTGAACACCTCTAAGTCGGTTTGCCGGTTTGCTACTGGGCACAATTCAGAATACTCACTTTAGCCTATAAAGCCCTAAATGGTTCTGGCCCAACTTACATGTTGGAACGCATCTCCCCTTATGAACCATCTAGGACCTTAAGTTCCTCTGGGGAGGCTCTGCTGTCGTTACCGCCTTCGTCACAAGTACGTTTGACAAAGACGAGAGACAGGGCCTTCTTGGTGGTGGCCCCTCAGCTGTGGAAGACCCTCCCTATAGATATTAGATTGGGCACCTCCCTTTTAACATTTCGGGAAAAAAGTCAAGACATGACTTTTTGAACAAGTATTTGCAAATGCAGAGTAACTGACACAGGAAAAGGGAATGACTAGACAATGAGTCTGGACAGCATTTTTAAAGAGACACTATGAATTTATATTTTACTAGCTGTCCCCTGCCACGCCTTGGTGTGGCCCAGTCTGTGTAAATATGTGGTTTTGCACATGCATTGCAATGTTTTTTTTATCTTGTTATGTCCCTTCTGATGGTTTTCTGTGTTTTTATGAGTGATGGTCACTTGTTGTCCTGATAGGTGTATTGTGTCCAAATTTGGTGTCAATTTGTCCAGTGGTTTTTGAGTTATGTTAATCCCACAAACAAACATTACATTTTTATTTATATAGACTAGCCATCCCCTGACACGCTTTGCTGTGGCCCACATGGGGGTTCTGTGTGGGAGGTTTGGCCCAATTCTATCGTTGGTGGGGTTCAGAATGCTCTGTGATTGTAGGTGAACTATAAATCCCAGCAACTACAAATCCCAAATTCTATTTTCCCTAAACTCTACCAGTGTTCACATTTGGGTATATTGAGTATTTGTGCTAATTCTGGTCCAGATCTATCATTGTTTGAGTCCACAGTGCTCTCTGGATGTAGTTGAACTACAACTCCAAAACCAAATGACACTGCCCACCAAACCCTTCTAGTATTTTCTGTTGGTCATGGGAGAACTGTGTGCCAAGTGTGGTTCAATTCAATCATTGGTAGGGTTCAGAATGCTCTTTGATTGTAGGTGAACTATAAATCCCAGCAACTACAACTCCCAAATGACAATTTTTTTTGAGTGAAGGACATACATTGGGTTGTTAGGTGTCTTGTGTTCAAATTTGGTGTCAATTCATCCAGTGGTTTTTGAGTTATGTTAATCCCACAAACGAACATTACATTTTAATTTATATATAGATTGATTTGTTTAGTTTTTATTTTATGCTATGTTTTTAATTGTATTTGTGACATTGTAAGCACTGAATTTTGCCCTGTTAACTGCCTTGAGTTGCCTACGGGGTGAGAAAGGCAGTATACAAATACAGCAAGTAAGTAAGTAAATAAATAAATCAAAATCCCCTCCTAAAGGGAACAATACAGCCGCGCCAAGGAGCCTCGGTGGGCTCAGATAGCCGGCCCTGGCGCGGAGAGCCGTCTGTCTCGGGTACGAAACGCAGTCGGAAGGGGTCCGCCTCTCACCCATAGCTGTTGTAGTAGTCTCTGCTGGCCACGTTACAACTGATAGTAGGAGTAGTAGAGGAGGGAATTGAGGTGCCCAGGTGTTAGATGAGGAGCAGCAAAAGAAGAGAATTTGGGAGATACTTATGTCACCCACAGACGAAGAATCCTTCGAAGGTTTCTCGGAGAGTGAAATGAGTGAAGAGGAGGAAGGAGATGGGAGTAGAGGTATTAAGAGGATTACTCGGGAGCAAGAGTCAGACGAGGAGCATCAGAGAAAGAGGATCCAGGACATACTTACTGCTCCCACAGGGGAAGAGGATTTCATGGGTTTTACTAGAAGTAATGGGTCTGGGAGTAGTGAGGATGAAGAGGAACCATTAGTTTGGACACAAGTTCAGGAGATCAGAAATGTGTGTACACAACCCATGTCCAGTGATACTTTTGAGGGGTTTTCTGGTGGGGATTGGCAATCTGGTGATACCAGGGAATCGTGGGCAGACCTAAGTCTTGACAAAAGGTGGAAGGGTTGGAGGGATGGGTGTTGGCGTTCAGCTGTAGAAGCTAAGCCAGCTGACAGCAATGAGGATGGGGCAGAGGGCAACTCATCAATGGATGATGAGTTGTAAGATAAATGAAGGACTGGAGTGATAGAACTTTGCAGTAGGCAAAGTGTTGGTTTCGTGGCTTGGGTGCTGTCGCTGCCGCTTCTCTTGTTGAGCTTGAGTCCTGGAACTGCAGGTTGCTGTTTCTTTCGTGTATCGACTGGCTTGGATTCTCGTAAGTGTGGATTTCCCCTCTTCTGACTTCGGACTGTTTCTGACGACGACACTGCCTTTTGGACTTTGGAATCTTCATCTGGGACTTCTTCGACTTTGGACTGCTTTTGGACGACGGCTTTTCTTCATTATCTTTGAACTGTGTGATTTTGGTGTGCTTTGAAGAAACTCTTGTTTAATCCGGATTATTTGCCAGTTTAATCCGGCTTATTTTCCAAGTTCGTTTTTCAAGCTGCAAATTGCTGCAAACTTTGAGTTTTGACCAGAGACACTGAAGCAAGTGTCTCTGAGTCCTGTTTGCTTTGATTTAATAAACTGTTGTTTTAAACTTACTCCTGTATCTGGCTCTTTAAGGCACCTGGGTTCCGACAATAGCACAACGCATGTTTGTGGGGAACCCAGCGCTATATCATTCATAGACGACCTGATTATGGGTCACAGTTTCATATGTAGCAGAGCAGCTCCCTCACTGCGATCTATTGAAAGTCAGCCCTTGGCACAAAGTTTTGTAGTCATGGTATTTTCCACTATTTTCTCCCTATCTGAGTGGCATTTCAACAACACAGAAGTTTTATTTATGTTCAGTCTTCCCCAAAAAGAGCATGGTTTATAAATTATTAAAACCAATGCACATTTAAACACAGAAGAACATCAGTAAAATGTTAGTTTTCATATATGGCATTTTTTAAAAACACTTAATATGTAAGACTTAACACCATTAAAAAGTCAGAATACATAAAAAAGCATGCCATTGAAAGGCTATGATAACCTAATTCTAAAACACTGAAAGAAAAGAGGAAATAGATTTAATATACAAAAGGAGACCAATTCTAGGATGACAGGGTGGATGGCAAAAAAGAGTGCATAGATATTTAGCTGCAGTAGCTTATTTTGTTAGATCTGGTCCCAGGCATGCATCTCTATAACAACATGCACACCAAAAGTTTAGACAAGTATGAGTCACTGGAAAGAGGCCATAATAAGCAGCAGTCCAAGTGTTTGCATCCGTGATTGGTTTTAGATTTTTTTAAAAATAATACACAATTTCCTGTTGTTAATTCCTTGAGGCCTCCTAGTTTGACACCAAAAGACAGGATACAAATGTTTTATATAACTAAATCTAGGAAGTTGTCTCACAGCAGGTCGGATTTATTTATCCAACCCGCTCTGTATTGTTTGAATCTCTCCACTGACAGACACCATTCCCATTACACTTTGTAACACAATTTTTGTTGCTGGGTTATCAGTATCATTTCTTACTTGGTTCTATCATAAAAACATGGAAAAGGTTTATTGAACTGCAAAAACTTTGTTTGTGCAGGATATCCTGCAGCACACTTTACTCTAGTTTTTCAATGAATATTGCATATAGGGTTGTTGTAGGTTTTTTCGAGCTATATGGCCATGTTTTAGAGGCATTCTCTCCTGTCGTTTTGCCTGCATCTATGGCAAGCATCCTCAGCTCCAACAGACAAGAGTTCTTTGTCCCACCCTGGTCATTCCACAGCTATATAAACCCATTTTCCTAGTTCCAACAGACCTCACAACCTCTGAGGATGCTTGCCATAGATGCAGGCGAAACGTCAGGAGAGAATGCCTCTAGAACATGGCCATATAGCCCGGAAGAACCTACAACAACCCAGTGATTCCGGCCATAAAAGCCTTCGACAATACAATATCTCATATAGTCTCAACCAATTCAACAGTTTGTGGCAGACACAAAAATGAAGTTTCTGGGGTATAACAACTACTTTCAAAGTACGTACTGTGCAATTAAATAGGAAATAACGCTTTCCAACCAGGAACAGGCAATTTTTCAAATGTTGCTAAAGGTAAAGGTTTTCCCCTGATAATAAGTCCAGTCGTGTCCGACTCTGGGGCGTGGTGCTCATCTCCATTTCTCAGCCAAAGAGCCAGCTTTGTCCGTAGACACCTCCTAGGTCATGTGGCCGGCATGACCGCATGGAGCGCCGTTACCTTCCTGCTGGAGCGGTATCTATTGATCTACTTACATTTGCATGTTTTCGAACTGCTAGGTTAGCAGAAGCTGGGGCTGACAGTGGAAGCTCACCCCACTCTCTGGATTCACACCTGCGACCTTTCAGTCAACAAGCTCAGCAGCTCAGCGCTTTAACCCACTGTGGCAACGGGGGCTCCCAAATTTTGTTACATATTGTTATTTGATCTTATGAGATGTTTGTTTACAATGACCCCATTCAAAACCGCAAGTTCTGGATGTTGCCTGGAAGTTGAGTTCCTGGTGTCTCCTATGAAAATGGCATTCCTAGGAGAACCAGGGCTGGGAAAGATGCCTCCCACTTTGGACACCTGCTACTAATGGGCATTGTTTAAGTAAATCTAGAAGGAAAAAAGGCAGCCCAAATTGCCATAGGAGTATTCAGTGTACTGGACTACTTACCACTGGAATCGCCATGTTCTCCCAAGATCCAACCATGACAGCTGCTGGGGTGGATGCCCAACTTTTCCCCCATCAGGAAGCGAAATCGCGCAGAGTCAAGGTTGCAGCCGCTGCCAATGACGCGATGCTTCGGGAGTCCGCTCAGTTTCCATGTAACGTAGGTCAGGATATCCACTGCAAAAGGGGAGACACACAGTCTGAAGAAAGCTGACTCCCTCCAGGGTTGGATACTCAGTGGTGCTTAGTTGAACAGCCCTGAATCGTAGCATCTAGGGCTTCCCTATCAACCGCTAGTAAATTCAGTCAGGAATTTTAGGGTGCATCTGCACTGTATTATTTATTATTATTTATTTCACAGTTTTGTATACCGAGCTTCTCAACCTCGTTGAGGGACTCAGCCCGGTTTACAGCCATAAAAACATATACATTCATTAAAATATCATATATCACAAATTACAAAACAACTTTAAAAACACTAAATATAAAACTACAGTGGTCAGTCGTCCTAATAAGATGGATCTATATCCACTTCCATCCAGAGTCCTATGGTGTTGTCTCATTCCTCGAAGGCCTGACTCCACAGCCACGTCTTCACCCGTTTCCTAAATGTTAGGATGGATGGGGCGGTTCTGGCCTCCAGAGGGAGAGAGTTCCAGAGTCGTGGGGCCACCACCGAGAAGGCCCTGTCCCTCGTCCCCACCAGCCGCGCTTGCGAGGCTGGTGGGACCGAGAGCAGGGCCTCTCCAGATGATCTTAGTAATCTTGATGGTTCGTAGGGGAGAATACGTTCGGAGAGGTAAACAGGGCCGGAGTCGTTTAGGGCTTTATAGGTCAACACCAGCAATGTAGAAAGTATGCAGTCTGACAACACCTTAACGTTCATGGGTTTCTTTATTTATTTTGTATCAAAAGCATTGCATAAATTAGTATAAAACTGATAAAAATAGAAGGTGCGCAGGCGGCTAATTATCTTTTGACCAAAAACAGGCAACAACAATGGCATTGTCTCTCGCCTCCAACAATTCTTCCTCTGTACATGAGGCGGGCCATAGCGGACAAGCATACAGATGCAGAATTGTCTGTTCTGCTCCCGTAGGGGAGAATACGTTCGGAGAGGTAAACAGGGCCGGAGTCGTTTAGGGCTTTATAGGTCAACACCAGCAATGTAGAAAGTATGCAGTCTGACAACACCTTAACGTTCATGGGTTTCTTTATTTATTTTGTATCAAAAGCATTGCATAAATTAGTATAAAACTGATAAAAATAGAAGGTGCGCAGGCGGCTAATTATCTTTTGACCAAAATGGGCAACAGCAACTGCATTGTCTGTAGCCTCCAACAATTCCTCCTCTGTACATGAGGCAGGGCATAGTGGACAAGCATATAAATGCAGAGTTGTCTGTTCTGCTCCACAGTCACACAAGGTGTGGGATTTTTTTTTAGGTAGTGCCATTTTGCCAGGTTGTCTTTTGATCTGCCCACTCCACTTCTGAGTCTGTTCAAGGACTTCCAAGTTGCCCATTCTTGGTTTGCCCCTGGAAGAAGACCCTCTCTTGTGGGGGGCCATCCAGTTGGGGTTTCCTGGTTTAGCTGCCCAGAGGGATACCCTTGCTGTTGCTGTGGGGACGCCAAGAGGAGTGGTAGTTCTCATGAAGCTTTTCCTTGATTTGAGTCTACTGGGAGGAGGCTGGTAGCCATGCAGTGGGTGGCTTTCACAGTGTTCAACCTTATTTCTCTCACAGTTAGCAGCAACTTCCTGTCACACATCAGGAGGGGAAATGCCAGCTAGCTTGTAGAGTTTATCAACAGGTGTAGGTTTAAGACATCCTGTGATTATTCTGCATGTTTCGCTCAATGCTATGTTCACCTGCTTTGTATGGGCAGACTTATGCCAAACAGGACAGGCATACTCAGCAGTTGAGTAAGACAAGATCTGGGCTGATGTTCTTATTAATTTTGGGTCTGCACCCCATGTTCTGCCAGTAAGTTTTCACAGGATGTTATTGTGTGCAGCTACTTTGTGCTTGGTGTTCAAGCAGTGTTTCCTATATCCTAGTGTTCGATCTAAGGTGACACTGAGATATTTAGGACACAAACAGTGGGGACACGGAAAGAGCCTCCTCGAAGGCTGAGTAAATACAGTCGGGCATCCTCCGGGCAACGTTTCTCGTAAACGGCTAATCTTTCCAAATCCAAAAGCATTGCTTTTAAGGGTTTTAATAGATAATAATTTCTCCTTTAACTTTCAAACTTGACAAGTTTCCTGACACAAAGGGAAGATGAGTAAATTTAAAAGAAAGGATGGGGGAAAGAAGAAAAACAACGTGAAGCCTAGATGAATGAGTGAATTACTGGCTATTGTGTGTAATGAGGTTTGCGTCTTAGCAAACCTGCACAGGATTGTACCAAATTCCAGCCACTTTGTCATTCCCAAAACCCAGAAAAGAATGATTGGCACTCAAAGAACAACAGCTGGTAAATCCAGCCAGGGATTTACTCACTGAAGGAGTGAACTCCAATTTTTAAGGAGTCAATACCTAAAATGAGCATTGGCCACAAAAGTTGTGTTGGAATCATGCTCTACTTCTGGTCTTCAGGTGTGAAACAATGTTCACATGAAATCAGCACATATCCTTCTCTAGGCAAGATTCAAAATAGGAAACAGACGAAAATGCGAGAGGCCTCACAATAACCCCACTTTACCTGGGTTCGAAACAACCAAGATGATGCAGTCTGGACTGTACTTCACCACCTGCGGGATGATGAACTTGAAGACATTCACGTTCCTCTGGACAAGATCAAGGCGGCTTTCCCCTTCCTGCTGACGGACACCAGCGGTGACCACGACCACCTTAGAATTAGAAGTGACAGCGTAATCTGCAACCAAGAAATAACCAGAAATGTTATTTGGGAATAGCTTACCAAACCACAACCAGGAATAACAGGGTTCAGATTCTGACATAGCCAGAATAGTCCATGGCTCATTTGGGGCAGGCTACTGTCTCTTTTTCCCAGACTAGCCTACCTGAGAGGGTTGTTGTGAGAATCAGGTAATAATAATAATAATAATAATAATAATAATAATAATACTTTATTTGTACCCCGCTACCATCTCCCCAAGGGACTCGGTGCGGCTTACATGAGGTCAAGACCACAACACATCAATAAACAGAAGCAATAACAATAAATCAATACAAAACAGTTGAAATAAACTCAAAAACAAAAAATACACAATAAGCAATAAATGATAACAATCTCAAAAACATACAGCATTTAAAAACCAATGGCCGGGCCAAATGTAAAATTCAAATTTAAAATTTAAAAAGTGCTGGGCATGAACAAGGTAAGGCAAATTAGGATAGGGTTTTCGGAGAAAGATGAGGGCGCGCAGACAATCCTAAGTCAGTATTAAAGTGCACTATGAGGGCATATAGCTGCGAGATTCTCCTTATTCTGGGAAGGCACACTAGAACAATCACGTTTTCAGGCTCCTCCTAAAGACTGCCAGCATTGGGGCATGTCTGATGTCCTTAGGGAGTGAATTCCAGAGTTGAGGGGCCACCACTGAGAAGGCCCTCTCCCTCGTCCCCACCAATCGCGCCTGTGATGGAGGTGGGAGCGTGAGCAGGGCCTCTCCAGATGATCGAAGAGATACAAAACAGAGAAAACTACTGAGATTCCTGAGACATAAAGATGATAAATGAACGCTGTCAGGAACGAACCCATCCCACTTACTACTCTCTGGATTTCTAACCAATGTACTAGAATAGGGAAGGACAGGGCCAGAAAGATATTTTTCTTGGATTCTAAACCTCAGATTACAGAAGTCTATTGCCACACTGCCTGAGAGATTCTGGGACTTGCATTCCAAAAATAACATTTCCAATGTTATTTCTGGAATGTGATGACTGAACAGAATCTCAATTCCACTACAGGTTGCAAAATAGCAAAACAAATAAGGCACTCAATTTGCTTTCCTGCCACTCTATTCACCCAGATGTCATTCCTGATCTCCTGCAAAAATGAGGCTAGATCATAACAATAATGTTGCCCCTGAGTGTTAAGAGCCACTTTCTGTTTCACATTTATCTCCTGCCATAAAATCTGAAGATACAAAGAACTGTCTTTTCAACCAAATCCACACTTTACCTTTGCCTGCTATGATCTTGTGCGTTTTAAGAAATAAGCTTCCATGCTGCAGATCCATCATTTCCCCTTTCAGCTTGTCTTCCAGGACATCCACCAGGGCAAGTTCATCGCAGAGACCCTGGTGACAAAAGAAACATCGTAATGGCTTAAGGTAGAGCAGGCCCTCCACTTTCACATGGATGAGGGCTGCAGGATCCCTGTAAAAGTGAGAAAACCGTGAATACTAAACAACAACTCTGTTTGAACCTGAGAAAACAGCACTCTAGGAAGCTCTAAGCCCTCCAAGGCAGATTATATGGTCAACTTCCACCAGATGTTGACCTTATAATCACCCTGGGGGACCTAGAGATTCCCAAGATCAGTATTTCTCAACCTTCCTAATGCCGTGACACCATAATACAGTTCCTCATGTTGTGGTGACTCCCAACCTAAACAGTTCTGGCCCAACTTACCTGTCCAAACGCATCTCCCGTTATGAACCACCTTGGACGTTATGATCGTCTGGGGAGGCCCTGCTCTCAACTCCATCTTGGTCACAAACAGAGACGAGAGACAGGGCTTTCTCAGTGGTGGCCCCTCAGCTATGGATCGTCCTTCCTAAAGACATTACATTGGCTCCCTCCCTTTCGATCTTCTGAACTCCACCAACGATGGAATTGAACCAAACTTGGCACACAGAACTCCCATGACCAAGAGCATATTGGAAGGGTTTGGTGGGCATTGACCTTGAGCTTTGGAGTTGTAGTTCCCCTACAACCAGAGTACTGTGGATTCAAACAATGATAGAGCTGGACCTAACTTGGCATGAATACTCAATATGTCCAAATGTGAACACTGGTGGAGTTTGGGGAGAATAGACCTTGACATTTGGGAGTTGTGGTTTCTGGGATTTACAGTTCAACAATGGAATCCAACCAAACTTGGCACACAGAACTCCCATGCCCAATAGAAAATACTGGAAGGGTTTGGCGGGCATTGACCTTGAGTTTGGGAGTTGTAGTTCACCTACATCCAGAGAACACTGTGGACTCAAACAATGATGGACCTGGACCAAATCTGGAACGAATATTCAATATGCCCAAATGTGAACACTGGTGGAGTTTGGGAAAAACAGACCTTGACATTTGGGAGTTGTAGTTGCTGGGATTTATAGTTTACCTACAATCAAAGAGCATTCTGAACCCCACCAACAATATAATTGGGCCAAACTTCCCACACAGAATCCCAAGACCAACAGAAAATTCTGTGTTTTCTGATGGTCTTTGGAGACCCCTCCAGGGTCCTGACCCCCAGGTGTTTTGGACTACAACTCCCAAAAATCCCAGCCAGTTTACCAGCTGTTAGGATTTCTGGGAGTTGAAGACCAAAACATCTGGAGACCCACAGGTTGAGAACCACTGGATTATATGGTCAACTTCCACCAGACGTTGACCTTATGCACCCTGGAGGACCTACAGATCCCTAGAGAGAACGTATTCCTCAAATCCGTGAATAATCAAATCTGCAAAAGTCAAATGCACAAACGCAGAGGGTGGGCTGTAGGTGGAAAGCTGATATTGCAACAGACCTATTGCTGGGTGGTCATTCTGTATCCAGAATGTCTTGATGCCTTTTTGTATAACAGGACAGAACCGGATTCTGGGAAAAATACTTTTGAGGCACTATATCACCCAATCTCAAGGGCAACGAAGTGACTTGCCATACATTATAATTTTTTTCCAAACTTTGCATCTATCTATTGGATACATGCATCAGCAATCCAGATATTGGGAAACATGATTCTATCTCCTGGGCCTGGTCCTGTTCAACATCTTTATTAATGACTTAGATGAAGGGTTGGAAGGCATGATCATCAAGTTTGCAGACGACACCAAATTGGGAGGGAGAGCCAATAGTCCAGAGGACAGGAGCAGGATTCAAAACGATCTCGACAGATTAGAGAGATGGGCCAAAACTAACAAAATGAAGTTCAACAGTGACAAATGCAAGATACTCCACTTTGGCAGGAAAAACAAAATGTAAAGATACAGAATGGAGGACAATGCCTGGCTCGAGAGCAGTACGGGTGAAAAAGATCTTGGAGTCCTCGTGGACAACAAGCTAAACATGAGCCAACAATGTGCTGTGGTGGCAAAAAAAGCCAATGGGATTTTGGCCTGCATCAATAGGAGCATAGTGTCTAGATCTAGGGAAGTAATGCTACCCCTCATTCAGGGCGACTGAAATGATCAAGGGTCTGGAGAACAAGCCCTATGAGGAGCGGCTTAAGGAGCTTGGCATGTTTAGCCTGAAGAAGAGAAGGCTGAGAGGGGATATGATAGCCATGTATAAATATGTGAGAGGAAGCCACAGGGAGGAGGGAGCAAGCTTGTTTTCTGCTTCCTTGGAGACTAGGGCGCAATGGAACAATGGCTTAAAACTACAAGAGAGGAGATTCCATCTGAACATGAGGAAGAACTTCCTGACTGTGAGAGCCGTTCAGCAGTGGAACTCTCTGCCCCGGAGTGTGGTGGAGGCTCCTTCATTGGAAGCTTTTAAACAGAGGCTGGATGGCCATCTGTCAGGGGTGATTTGAATGCAATATTCCTGCTTCTTGGCAGGGGGTTGGACTGGATGGCCCATGAGGTCTCTTCCAACTCTTTGATTCTATGATTCTATCTGTTTGAGCTCAAGGCTTCCTCTTCCAAACCTTTCTAGCAATATCAACTTGCAATTGACGCCCATTATAGCCATTCTGAATGGCCACTGTGCTTTTCTGTGTACATTAGAGCTTTACGTAGCAATCGGCTCTTGTGTCTTGTGATCCCTTGACTCCACTGTTTATATAAGGCTGTATAACTTGGTGTTTGCGTAGCTGAGGATGTCACTGAAATCCTTGAGCATTAAAAGCAATCATGTGAGGTCTAGCCATGACTTCACAATGGCACATATTCAGTCTGTTTGAGAAGGAACCCATGGCCCATTCTGCTATATGCCAGCCAAAAGCCTCCATGAATCTTAATACATAGGATCTCTTCCCAGGAGAGCATGCATGCAATGAATTAGAAGTAAATTAAGAGAATGATAGTTATTTGCAAGTAATTACAAAATAACTAGTTGTTTTTGAAAGACCACTACTTGTAACCTCAATAAAATAACTTCACTTCTGGGTTCCTGTGAGTTCTCCAGGCTTTCTGAGCATGTTCCAGAAGCATTCTCTCCTGACATTTCACCCACATCTATGTCAGGCATTCTCAGAGGTGTTGAAGTCTGTTGGAAGCTAGGCAAGTGAGGTTTATATATCTGTGGAATGTCCAGGGTGGGAGAAAGAACTCTTGTCTGCTTGAGACAGGTGTGAATGTTGCAATTGGTCCCCTTGATTAGCATTTAATGGCCTTGTAGCTTCAAAGCCTGGATGGTTGCTGCTGGGGGAATCCTTTGTTGGGAGTGTTAGCTGGCCCTGATTGTTTCTTGTCTGAAATTCCCGTTTTTTAGTGTTCTTTCTTTACTGTCCTGATTTTAGAGTTCTATCTTTAAACCCTCATATTCCACTGTCACCTGGAATTACAACATCGATGATCCATACTTTGTTTTTTCCCCCACAATTGTGAGGTCGAGGGTATTGTGCTCCAAAAGTAATCAACTCCCCCTTAGTTTTGAAAGTTACATTTTTTAAAAATATATATTTATGTTTATTATTTTTCCCAAAGGTAAGGTAGGGATACAAGGAGGAATAGTGATGCTAAGATTAGTGTTCGCAAATCAATAAATCTGAACAAATATCTAATAAATTGTCAAGAGAGAGGAGAGTGATATGAAGGGCAAGAGAAAACATTATATAACATTTTATTGTATTAGATCCAGTAACGGCTTACCTTTTCCAGGACGCTGATGGCACAGGCCATCCCAACTTGGCCAACTCCCACGATGGTCACCTTGTTGATGGGCTGGGTTGCCGGCTGGGCAATAGGTGTAATGAGCTTGTCCTTGAGGGAAGCCATGGCTCTCTGCAAAAGAAAGATGGAAAAGCTGAGGTTTCCATGTCCTTCAAAAGGAAAGCCAGGCTCGCCTGAGCTTTGAACGGATTCAAGGTTGAGATATGCGGGGAAATGGGTAACAGAGCTTTGAAAATGGCAGCCAACTTTTTGGATTGCAATCCAACATTTCGGATTGCATCTCCCCAAATCTGTCTGGTAGCATGTGTAATATTTTCAGCATAACCTTCTGACACAGAGCTCTGGTGTGGGATGGTCCATGAGGTCATGAATGGTCCATGAGGGATGGTCCATGAGGTCACGAATGGTCCATGAGGGATGGTCCATGAGGTCACGAATGGTCTGTGGGATGGTCTATGAGGTCACGAATGACTGAACGAACAAACAACAACATCAACCTTCTGAACAAATCTCTCTAAAACAATCTAATTTTTTTCAAGTGAGATCTACAATCAGAGCAGCATACCTCTCTTTAAGAACCGGACAATTATATTTTTGGACCACAGTTCCCAAAAGGCTCTAGCCAGCATGCTACCTCTGGGAGATGCAATCTAAAAGGTCATTTTTCAAAGCTCTGCAGTCTTGCCTCCCAATGTCCAGCTGTTATTCTTTCAAACAGACAGAATGTGATTTGTAAGCACCGGGATTGTGGCGCAGCTGGCTGAGTATCAGCTGCATTAAGCTCGCTCTGACCAAAAAGGTCATGAGTTCGAAGCCAGCCTAGATTGGAGTGGGTTTCCAACCAATTGTGTAGCCTGTTGTCGACCTTTGCAACCTGAAAGACAGTTGCATCTGTCAAGTAGGAAAATTAGGTACCACCTTAAAGTGTGGGGAGGCTAAATTACCTAATTTATGAGGCCATAAAAAAAAAAAGACTCCAGCAAGCACTCCAGCAAAAAGCATGCGGGGAATGCGGAAGTACTTCATCAATGTCGCAGATGGACGATTAAAGCGACAGCTCCCCTGGTGGCCAGAAAAAGTTAAATAGCCTCTGTCTATGTCTGTATATGTTGTATGTCAAAATTGGCATTGAATGTTTGCCATATATGTGTACACTGTAATCCGCCCTGAGTCCCCTGCGGGGTGAGAAGGGCGGAATATAAAAGCTGTAAATAAATAAAATAAACTAATTTGTTCTCCACACTTGGGACAAAAACAGACTGCCAAGAGAGATTGTCAATGGCTGTTCCACAACCATGCACTTTCATTCTTTGAAGATGAGTGTCCCTAAAAGGCTAAGAGCAAAGTTGATCAAGTTGTTGATCAACTTGATCAAATGTTGATGGATTTGAAATTCTATCAGCCCTGGTCAACACAGGAATTCTGGGATTTGTAGTCCAGCCATTACTGGAAGGCCATAATTTAGGGAAAAGGTAAAGGTTTCCCCTGACATTAAGTCTAGTCGTGTCAGACTTTGGAGTGGTGGGGTGGTGGTGGTGCTCATCTCTTTTTCTAAGCCGAAGATCCAGTGTTGTCCATAGACACCTCCAAGGTCATGTGGCCAGCATGACTACATGGAGCGCCATTACCTTCCCACCAAGGCAGTACCTATTGATCTACTCACATTTCCTGTTTTCGAACTACTAGGTTGGCAGAAGCTGGGCCTAATAGTGGGAGCTCACCCGCGCCCTGGATTCGAACCACCAGCCTTTTGGTCAGCAAGTTAAGCAGCTCAGCGGTTAAACCCAGGGGGCCAGCCATAACTTATCATCTCAATTTTAAATGAAAATACTGAATATTGTGCACCTCTGGGATGCATATCAAAAACAACCATGTTGGATTTAAAGAGACTAATGGAGAATACATGGGGTATGCATGATTCCTCTATCTGCTGGACATTAAGAAAGAGAAGGTCACAGTGAATGGGGTGAAGATGTCAACAATTTCAATATGCAATACTGCAGAATGGCCATGCATACACTGGAAGGGAAATAACAATTTGAATTGTAGGATATTTGACCCAAGAGATGAAGGTGGAAAAGCATGTCATAGCACTGAGCTGATAATTCTTTTAAAATCAAAACTAACTAAATAAATAATAAATAAACCTTTATTTGTACCCCGCTACCATCTCCCGAAGGACTCAGTGCGGCTTACAAGAGGCCGAGCCCAAATACAACAATAAAAACAACAGCAACAACAACAATGCAAACAACTCAAAAAACAAAGCAATAACATTAACAACACCCAATGACGCAATTAAAAGCAATGGCCGGGCCAAATGTAATAATTAAAAATTAAAAAGTGCTGGGCATGGCAAGGTGGGGAGTTTGGAAGGGGATGGGCATGCAGATATCCTGAATCTCTGATAAAGTGCGTTGGGACATAATGCTAGGAGTTTCCTTATTCTGGAAAGGCATACTGGAACAACCACGTTTTCAAGCTCCTCCTAAAGATTGCTAGCGACTGGGCCTGCCTGATGTCCTTAGGGAGAAAGTTCCAGAGTTGGGGGGCCACCAGTGAGAAAGCCCTATCCCTCGTTCCCACCAATCGTGCTTGCAATGCCGGTGGGATCGTAAGCAGGGCCTCTCCAGATGAACAAAGAGATTGTGTGGGTTTGTACACAGAGATGCGGTCACGCAGGTAGGCTGGTCCCAAACCGTTTAGGGACCCGCCTAACTGTTTAAATTCACAGTACATTTTCAATCTACAATGACAGAAGGTACAATAGAAGGAGTTCAACTGTTTCTCCAGAGCTCTACTCTGGCATATGCAATTTAGATTAAGAAATAAGCAACGAAAATGGGAGAACGTCTCCAAATTGTCCTTTCTACAGACAGGAACATGAAAGGCACTGCAGACTATTTCAACCAGAGAAGTCAGCCATAGCAGAGCACCTGATGAACCAACCTGGACACAGCGTATTATTTGAGGACAAAGAAATGCTGGACCACTCTCACAACTACCATGTCAGGCTACACAAAGAAGCCACTGAAATCCATAAGCATGATTTAATGTAGTTTGACACCACTTTAACTACCACGGTTCAATGTTATGGAATCATGGGAGTTGTAGTTTGATATACTACAACTCCCATGATTCCAAAGTATTGAGCCATGGCAGTTAAAAGTGTGGTCAAGTTGAATTTACTCCACAGTGTACATGCAACGTATATCGGCTCATAAAGCAGTCCATTAAACACGGAGCAAAATTCTGGAAATGTCTGCCATCTGATATGATCCAGCAAGGATGTTTGCTCTTGATATCAAGAATTAAGACTCGGGAATCGTTCATCTTCCCCAAATGTGCTCCTCTTGCTGTGTCTACACTCTCGTGCTTACCTTCTCCTCGATGCCCCGATTTGCTGGCCACCGGCGGCCTCCTTCCAAGCCGTTCAACGCACCCGAGTAGTTGTAAAAAATTAAGTAAGTGAAGCCGCTCATAATGAACTTCTACTGCTTTCGGGAAGCGACGGCGTGCTGGTGACACAGAACTGACATGGTCCCTGCCCAGATGGGCTTACAGTCTACAATAACAGACAAAATGGGAATTGGGGGAAGGGGGGGATGTCAAATCTAAGTCATTTCCATGTGCCTTCGTCTATCTAATCAAGTTGGGAAGAAGCCACTGAAATGAGTGAATTGCTTATTTGGAGTCTGATTCTGCAACTGCAGTGGCAAGTGTGGCCTGTGGGATGATTTGGGTCATCAACTTTGCCCAAAAGAAATATTTAGGTTGATTTTCAAGCCCCAAATACGTCAAAAGTGCCCCTCGAAACTGTCAAAACCCTTGATCTATTTCTCTTTCCCTTTCTAAAACCAAAAAATGGTTGGAAATGAGCTGAGGAGTAGAACAACATTTCCAGCTTAGTGTTTACCTAACATGATGGTCCACCAGATGGAACTGTAGATAAAAACTGGTCTTAATTTTCCCAGTACTTTGCCCAAGGGAAAGCGAAGTGGACAATGTATTGTCAAAGGCTTTCATGGCCGGAATCACTGGGTTGTTGTAGGTTTTTTCGGGCTATATGGCCATGGTCTAGAGGCATTCTCTCCTGACGTTTCGCCTGCATCTATGGCATCTATGAGGATGCTTGCCATAGATGCAGGCGAAACATCAGGAGGGAATGCCTCTAGACCATGGCCATATTGCCCGAAAAAAACCCTACAACAACCCAAAGTGGACAATGGCAGCTCCCAAATACCGTATATACTCGAGTATAAGCCGACCCGAATATAAACCTAATTTTACCACAAAAAACTGCAAAAACGTATTGACTTGAGTATAAGCCGAGGGTAAGAAATTTAGTAATCATCAGTAGGTTAAATGTTTTCGAGAATTTACATACAACTGTAATTTAAGATAAGACTGCCCAACTCTGATTAAACCATTATTCTAACCTCCTTCAATGTAAATGTGCTTACCTATTACCAATAATGATAGAGTAAAATAATAAATGCAGTAACATGTAATAAAAAGAATAATAGAGTAAATAATGGAAATTTAATAATATTGGTAATAATAAAGTAATAAATGTAATAATAATAGAGTAAAATAATAAATATAATAGAGTAAATAATGGAAATTTAATAATATTGGTAATAATAAAGTAATAAATGCAATAATAACAATAATAGAGTAAAATAATAAATATAATAATAGAGTAAATAATGGACATTTAATAATGTTGGTAATAATAAAGCAATAAATGTAATTACAATAATAGAGTAAAATAATAAATATAATAATAGAGTAAATAATGGAAATTTAATAATATTGGTAATAATAAAGCAATAAATGTAATAATTACAATAATAGAGTAAAATAATAAATATAATAATAAAATAATGGAAATTTAATAATATTGGTAATAATAAAGTAATAAATGTAATAATAACAATAGAGTAAAATAATAAATATAATAATAGAGTAAATAATGGAAATTTAATAATATTGGTAATAATAAAGTAACAATAACAATAATAGAGTAAAATAATAAATATAATAAAATAATAAATGTGATAAAATAATAATAGAGAAAATAATGTAAATGTAATAATAATAATAATAAT